TCTTCTCAACACACGTTGACTCATTAGAAATTGGGAGAAGTTTAGCAAAAGTCATTGGATTTTATAGCTTCCTTTGCAAAAAAAATTTTTTTTCTTTATAACAAATTAATTACATACTCAGTACCATATAATTCCACACCCATTTCAAGAGCACGTACTGGGAAAAAGTCACTGGAAAGTGCTTCCTTTGGAAGTCATAAAAATTAAGAAACTAGGGGGAAAAAAATCTTAGCATGTTTTTATGGCTGCAAATAAAGTCACTTGGTAAGTTTGAGGGGGAATCTTTGAAGAGAAAATAGAGGATGGATCTCAACGCAGGGGAAGGCTTGAAAATGAACATGGAGCTGGGAGTGCCTCATGGCAGGAGTTTCTCTCAACACATGTGTGGAATAAGGTCTTTACCCCTCAATGGTCTTGTTCTGATTGCTGCAGAGGGGAGGTGTTCTTCGTCTCAAAGACAAAAACTCTGGTCATTCGAGCTTTTTTCCTATACTGCTAACTTGTGATTTTATTGTGTTTTGCTTCCAAGATAGAACAGGTGCTCTGGGTGGGGGTCAAGGCATAGAGCGTTTTCCCCGAGGGTCCAGTCATCCCTGCAAGGTTCAACTCAAATTCTACATCAGTGAATCCTGCTCAAAGTCCCCCAGTCGTCTCTTCCTTCTCTGCAGGAGTTCTGTGGTGTTTCTGTCTCTGATGTCTATTTCCATATAATAGACCGTCCCCAGGATGGTGGTTTAAAGCCAAAATTTTTCACAGCTCGTTATTCTGTCGGTCTGGAATTTTAGCAGGGCTCAGCAGAGATGGCCCATCTCTGCTCTGTGTGGTATTAACTGGGGAAGACCCAAAGGCTTCATCCCATGTTGGGTACCTCAGCTGGAGAGGCTGGGATCTCTGGAGGATGGCCCACTCTCACCTTCCAGAAGGGTAGTGGGACTTCTTTTCAGTGTAGCTCAGGATGCCAAAAGAGTGAAAATGGAAGCTGTCAGGTATCTGAAACCCTAGGTACTGAACTCCACTGTATATTCTAGGCCAAAACAAATCACAAAGGGCAGCCTAGATTCCAGGGGAGGGGAGAGGCACATCCGCTCTTGGTGGAAGGGGTCGCATGCCCGGAAAGGGAAGAATGAACTAATGGCGGCCATCTTTATAGATCGCCAGCTCCGTACCCTTGGTCCCAGTTTCCTCCTATTATTGATCTACCTACCCGTAATTCTCTGAGCTTCTCAAAAGGCAAAGCCAAGGTCATACCCATCGTTGCGTCCTTCCCACAGTCACGGCTCAAAGATGATTTGGATAAACCGAATAGATTTGTGAGGACAGAGGGAACAGAGAGTAGAGAGATATCTTGGAAAGACCCTATCAGCTTTGGAATCAGATGATGTGGGTTTAATTCCAAATTTTCTACTTATCCATGAGCCCTACATGTGCCCTTTATCGCTTATTTCTGGTTCTTCAAGTGTAAATCGAGGTGATAGTTCAAAGTCCGCAGATCAAGAGGGAACAAGGTATTGTTCGGGGGAAGTGCCTTAGTCCACGGACTAGGGTTGGGAAATGAGTCTCGTTCTGGACTTTTGGTTTAAGTCTTCTTCGCTCTCCTCAAATGTTCGGATGCATTTTGACATACTGACACATGCGAGGAAAAAGGTTTCTCAGTAAGTGGTTAGAAGTAGAATAATATTTTACACCCAGCCCAGGATATAACTGTGTATAATATGTATAAATGTATACATATTATGTATACATTTGTATAATATGTATAACTGTATAAATGCAGTAATTGGCACTTAGTAGAGCTGCTGACAAAAGCCACTCCGGCTTTCTCATTAAGCCCCCAGGCACAAATGCACATGTGGATATCAAATTAAGGGTCCAGCCCTGCCAAAGTTCTTAGGATTACCTCTCACACCCACAGCTGACTTACCTTTCAGAAAACTGTGATCGCCCATAGATTATGCTCGCAAACCGTAACCGTTGGGCGCACTCACTAGAGGACAAACGAAGCATGCAGGGAGATGTCTAATAGAACGGCCTTGACATCAGGAAGAGCAGAGGACCATCTACCCCCAGTTAATTCTACTTCAGTCAGTCTCTTGTGCAAAACCAAGGACAAACAGCAATCATCCGCCGTTCTTAGTGTCCTAGTCCTCAACCTACTCGGTCAGGACTCTGTCTTTATAAAGCATATATTTTCATATTGCCTTTTCACTCTTCTGAAATGAAATTCAGCGGTAAAAGAGCTTACCTACAAGCACAGTTTCAAAAACATCAGTATAATGCTCTAACTTCGTAGAAAGGCCAATGATGAAGGAAGGAAATTATAATGAAATAATCTGTGTTTTCACATGTAAACGCTTAGGTACAATAAGAGGATCATGAAGTAGTTGGATGCTTGCACCTACTTAAAATTCGTAAGTTTGAAATCAAAATAATATTCAACTAGTCTTGTCCTACTTACACTTTCTTCACATTTTTTAAAATACAGGTTATGTAAATACATGTATGTGTCTGTGTATATATAGAGATGCATATGGGTGTATATGCATGTACACACGTGTATAAATCGCTGTGGATACTACAGTTAGAAGCACAAACTGAAACACATGCGTGGTATTTGCGACCCAAACCACAATCGCAGCATCAGTGACAGGAATTGCAAAATGGCAAGCCATTCTTGGAGAAGTTTTGAACAAAACTAAACTCTGTATTTCCTCAATTTGCAATGGTAATTTTCATCTGGAAAACTCCACACACATTCCAACCATGCAAAACTAGTTGGTGTTTATATGTTAACCCAAGTAAGGATCGACACTCCGATTATCATAAACAAGTTTTTCACTTACACGAATGTCTGTTCTTGAATCGACAAGTCTGTGATGAGGGAAGGAGGCAAGACAATTGTACAGGGCTGTCTGCAGCCCAGGGCAGGACGTTCAGCATCTCAGATTCCATCCAGCTGGATGCTCCTCAGATCATAGGTGTCCAAAATCATTGTGATAAATAAAACAAAGCCCCTACGAACTTCCCAACCCAGCCCTCACAGTGCCGCAACTCCTGAATTCTACCAGTTTTGTGCAGTAAGTGACAACGTGGCTCTTTCCAGTGATACTTTCTCACTGGATCATCACAATAAGGGATCCTGTTATTTTCATTTTTACCCATAAGGAAATAGGCCCATCGATGTTCAGTGATTCACATCTATCATAACTAATGGTGTTGACCCATGTCTTCTGGTACTTGGTTTAGGATCTTGCCCCCGTGCTCATGTTTATACCAAAATAAAGGCTTGTGGCCATCAGCGTGGTCGTCTTTGTAGACGGTGTGTGGGGGTGGTGAATCAGCGTGGCAGAAGGTAGGATTTGCTCACACGCAGCAGAGGGACGTAGCTTCTGTCTCCCACTAGGACTTCTGGCTTTTCCTCATTTATCTTTCATCTAGTCCCTTCAGTTTTGCTCACCTGCTAGAGACGGTTGTGACTGCTCTGCCTTCCAAGGCTGGTTTAAGGGGGAACAAAATGACAATGATTGCAAGATGCCTTGAGCTAATCAAATGAGTTACATGATTTGATGCAGACTAAGCTCTTGGAACAGTCCATAAAATTAACTTAATAAATGTTAAATATTACTGCTGCAACATTTGGGGGAAAATATGGGTTTATGATAATGGTCGTGGAGGAGGTGACGACTGGCTTACTTAGGTGATCAACTTGTTTCAACATCTTTGTTTTGATCACCTAATACTTGCAAGGCTTTATGCTAGGGCATGCTTTGAGTCGGACACAGTCATTACCCGGAAGGACCAAGAATTCTTAGTGCTATTGGGGAGAGGAACTGGGGTGAGGAAAAATGAACTACACATATATGAGAAGTAGAAAGATCAATGTCTTGAGAGGCAGAAACACCATATTATAAGGCATTAGGACTTCCAGCTTCTGGTAATAGCAGAGCTCAAAACAAGGAGAAATCGCATTCATCTAGAAATCAAGAAAAGGTGGGGTGAATGATGCTAAGTGGCCAGTGAAACTAGAGGAGAGGCCAGAAGGGTGAAGGATCTTTGGAGGAAAGTACCAGCTCAACAAAGCCACCAGGCAGCTTTGGGAAATGTGTTCGCAGAGCTGGAACCCCTTAGAGCAGCTTCGTCAAAGCTGCTACCCATGAGAATCACCTGAGGGGCTTTAAAAAATACTGATTCCTAAGACCTGGCCCAGCCCCACTGAGCCAGAACCTCCAAGAGTGGGGCTAGAAACTTCTATTCTTTGGTAAATTTCTCAAAGTCTGATGATCAGCCTGGTGTGGACCGGTTCCGTGGTTCTCAGAGTGTGGTCCGCAGACCAGGAGCGGCTGCCACCATGTAAGAAATCCAGGTTCTCAGGCCTCCCGAGCCAGAGGCTCTGAAGCCAAGGACCTGCCAGTCTGAATTATAATAAGCCTCCCAGGTGATTCTGCAGCACTTTCAGTAGAGGGCGAAGAAGAAAAACACGCCCAGCTGTCAGTTTCATTCTTTCTTTTCTTTTCTTGCTTTCTTTTTTTTTTTTAATAGGCGAGCAGATAGAGCCCTTTCCAGATTTTTCTTGGAGGCAGAGCATTTCAAGGTACGCTCTGACATAACCAGACTTTTCTTTTTTCCAGTTTTATTGCGATATAATGGACATGTAACCTTGTATCAATCCAAGGTGTCGATGTTTTGACAGTAAGGGGTTGACGAATGCGTGGGTGGGAAGAAAGTGGAGATGTTGGCTCCACCTGTTTTCTGGTGGGTTTTTTGGGGGAGGGAGGGGGTGTGGGCGCAGGAATCTTAGTAGTGAAGAAGAGGAAGGAAAAATAAGTGGCATTCTTCTTCTTCAAGTCATAATAATGATGAGCACAGGGGCCTCAACAATGCCAGCTGCATCCAACATATTTTTCTTAATGTGTCATAACAGCCTGAGAGGTGGGGGCTGATATTATCTCTGTTCTACCCGTGAGAAAACACTCTCGGAGATTTTAAATAATTTGCCCAAGGTCTCACGGTTAATGAGTAGCTGAGCTGAGATTTGAACCCAAGGTTTTCTCACAACGCGCCAAGCTGCCTCTCCTCCCATCTTTCTCCAGCCGGACGGTAGAACTGACAGGGGATCTGGAGACAGTCTCCCACTTCCCTGCTGAGATCGAAGGCCCAGAAGTGTGCACTGAATCACCCAGAGGCAGGTCGGTGGCAGCAGTTGGGGTTAGGAGCCATTGAGGGCCAGCCCAGGGCTTTTTGCAACATTGAGGGTCCTTCCCAAACTGCTGGGATACTTGTTACATAATGTTTAAATTTATGTAGGAATGTGACTAATCCACATTTTTTGGTATTTGATCAGATGCGGAATATAAATGAGGAAAGCACTTAATTGAAAAACTTAAGCAATGGGAGGGCCTGGGAAGGCTGAGGTACAGAGTGACAATGAAATGCAGGCTGTGTGGATGTTTTTAGACTGTTAGGAGTATGAACTCGTTTACTACATCTGCTGAGATCAATTCCATATTCCAGCTAAACAATTGCAGAGCTTCGTGGCATTCATGTGTGATTGAGTAGAGGATTTGGTAATTACTCATCTCCCAACTGATAGCTTCATCTGTGAATCGAGCAAAAATGAAATGTTTGTTGGGTTCCTACCTGCCTCCAAACAACTGCTTGCGGTGTTCAGCAAAGCGCAGTGATCAAAGCAGGCTGCTCATCATTTCAGATTTCCGCTTTTAAAAAGTCATTATTTAAAATTTATTCTTGTTATAGAGAAGAGCGCAATGAGTAGAATTTCCTTTCTTAAGAAAATACCTGTCATTTGAAGAAGTTCAAAGACTGTAGAAGGAAAATACATATTTTAATCATCATTGGGTGTCCTCTCAATTATAATTACCTCAGAGCTCTGGTATAAAAATATAAAACATTCAGCTAACATGGGTGAAACAGATCTCTAAATGATGTTACTAAAGTCCTCTTTCGTTTAGTGTATTATTATGCCCAGCTGATTCTAAACGTCAGACTCTAATCACCAAAACTTAAAAAATGTGACCTCTAGGTTGCTGCTTTTGACCTGAAATTTTAAAAGGCTCACAAATTAGAATGATCAGGTTATTGAAACAAATGTACAGATTCCAGGTTGAAGTCCTTATGTAGCTAAGAACTTGCTGTGGTGAGTTAACCACGTTCATGACGACAGCTGACCCTCTTGGTAGCCTGTGCATGTCTGTATGCCCACATACCACCTCCTCGCTCTGCTCTCCTCCAGTAAAAACCTCATTAAAAAAAAAAAGATTTATTTATTTGAGAGAGAGGTGGGGGGAGGGGTAGAGTGAGAGAGAAACCCAAGTAGACGCCATGCTGAGCGTGGAGGCCAACTTGGGGCTCGATCTCACGACCCTGAGATCAGACCTGAGCTGAAACCAAGAGTCGGAGGCATAACCCACTCTGCCACCCAGGCGCCCCAAAAACCTCATTTTTATTCCAATGTGCTTCCTCCTTGGTGTGGCCATAGGGCAGGGAGTGGGTCTGGGTTAGTTTCATCCAATCGTGTTGGCCCCATTCAACTTAGCAATAATGGGCTGAAGATTTGGTCAGGTGACAGAATTCTGGCCTTCGAAACATGAGGACAAGCCTGTCGAGAGGACTTCTAGAAATGCTGTGTCTCTGCTCTTTGAAAAAGACAAAGGAGGAGGTGGCTCAATTTCTGCCTCTGGATGGTGTGGCCCTGAGGAGAAGGAGAGAAGTAAAGAGAATCACAGAGAACTAGAACCGGGCCCGATCCTGTTGCACCCGGAGATAATCTGTATACTTCCTGCTCAGTGAGAAAATTAATGTCTTTATTGCCCAAAACTGTAGCCCTCCCACGTGAACATTCAGTGGAATCACCAGGAGGTTTTTTTTTTAAGGTTTATTTATTTATTTGCGAGAGCGAGAATGAGAGAGAGAGAGAGCACATGAGAGGGGGGAGGGCCAGAGGGAGAAGCAGACTCCCCGCTGAGCAGGGAGCCCGACGTGGGACTCGATCCCGGGACTCCAGGATCATGACCTGAGCCGAAGGCAGTCGCTTAACCGACTGAGCCACCCAGGCGCCCCCAGGAGGTTTTGTTAAAACACAGATTGCTGGGCCCCACCCCCAGGGTTTTGGATTCGGGGTTCCCGCGGTAGAAGTGAGAATCTGCATTTATAGGTTCTGCAGATACTGCGGGCCTGGGGATCCTACTTTGATCATCACTGCTCTAAAAGTCGATTTCAGCAAGAGTTTCACTTATTTGCAACTGGAAACATCCTAATTTACATGCACAGGTGCTGCGAAACCCATAAAGATATAAAGGCCTCCTGCCTTCCAATTTCCAAGCCTGATTTCTGTGAAGCTACCCAGAAAGAAACATTCTATCCTGCCTGTCCTTTCCATCAACAGTGGGAATCTTTAAAAGCAAGTTGATCAAAATCTCAAAGGATATTGTATTTCTAGACTAAAGAGCACAGGCCTTGGAGGCAGACAGTCCTGGACTTAGAAATCACTTAGACTTGCTAAGTTTTCTAATTTTTTTTTTTTTAAGATTTTATTTATTTGAGAGAGAGAGAGAGACAGCACAAGATGGGTGGACGGGTAGAGGGAGAGGGAGAAGCAGACTTCCCGCTGAGCAGGGAGCCCGATGTGGGACTCGATCCCAGGCCCCTGGGATCATGACCTGAGCCGAAGGCAGATGCTTACCCGACTGAGCCACCCAGGCGCCCCAAGTTTTCTGATTTGTAAATGGGAATTAAGACTTTATGCTCTAGGCTTTGAGCATTACATGAGATAACATGGAAAATGCTTCTATATATGTATGTGTGTATATATATATATGTATGTATATATATGTAATGTTTTCTAACTGATTTCCTAACTGAACTACAACAGAGTTAAAAAAAAAAAAAAAGTCCTCAATATCCACAACTCTGTTATCTAAAATCCTGTCTTTCTCCCTGCTTGGCAGGGGGTCTGCTTCTCCCTCTGACCCTCCCCCCTCTCATGTACTCGCTCTCTCTCTCATTCTCTCTCTCTCAAATAAATAAATAAAATCTTTAAAAAAAAATAAAAATAAAATCCTGTCTTTATTAGATAGTCAGTGGAAACAAAAGTCTTCATGATGTAAAAATATTTACCAATGAACTGTCCACTTAGAATTATAACACTCAGACATCTCTCCCTGCTAAAGAATAGTGTCTCTTTCTACCCATCCATCCAAGTATCTGTAGATGACTCTCTACCAGATTGTACATTGTGAGTATCTGGTAATAAACATCAATTGTAAACTGAGGTTGCAGATCTTGCAACGGGAACAAGGTTTCATGAAGTTAATTAAAGTGATGTTGAAAAAGTAATCACGTCACACTCAAAGTCCCTGACAAATGAGTGTCTGGCAGAAGGCGACCAGTGAAAATTTCAAAGTGAACATCTGGAATTTGCATGCTAAGATAGGGTCTTCAAGAGAATGGCTCGAATATCAACGGCCTGAGAGAAATTCTTGGTAAAAGTGACATACATATTTTCACACAGATTCTCTCCATGATCATGTAGAAAAGACAAATGGAAACAAAGAATGCTCTCTTGTTAGATCAAATTATTTTCTCACTAAAATGACATCAGATGAAATAATCAGCATTTACTCCACTTTTGGAAAAAGAAATGAATGAACAATTGATATTATAACTTAAATCTTGTTAAATATAAAGATAAATACATTTTCAGAATTTTAGGATCCCTTTTCAAGGTAAAATTGCACTTGAAAATTTCCCCCCACCATTTACTTTGAAAACTTGGGTCTCTGGTATATGTGAATTCACTTTAAAATACTGACAAAAAGAGAAATCAAGACAGTAAGTAATATTATGTTGTTTTGTACAATACCTAAACTCTCTTCAGGAGAAACTGACAACTGCTTTCTGATAGCTATTCTTTTCTCTTCCTACAGTTACGGAAGCCTGGGCCAGTGCTGTCCACATAAATATGTTTTCCTGCCTTCTTTGAATCTGTATCTGGTGGATGAGATGTAGTGGAAATGTTTTCTAAGAGTTCCAGTAAAGCTGCATAAAAGGCGGGAGGTAGGCTTTTTTCTTTTTTTCCTCCTTTCAGCTGTCTGGGATGAGGGCAGGAGCTCCAGCAGCCATTTTGGGCCATGAGGTGAAGCCACCTACTGAGGATGGTGGGATAGAAAGCTAGACCTCTGGGTCCCTGACATGCCCACAGAACTCCCATACCAGTCTCAAAATGTCTTTGAATTTCTTACGTGACGGATACACAATTATCCCACTAAAACTATTTACCGTGGGGTTTTTCTGGTATGTGCATCAGAATTCTATCTAAAATACCCTCTAATATTTGCTGGAAATCTATTATTGATTCTTGAAGTGCATTTTTACTCATCACTTTAGTCTATGATGATATGGGGCATGGATCAGCAATGCGTGGAGGGGCAGGGAGGAAAAAAGTCTCACATTCCATGTTAGGTAAAATTACATAAAGCAAGGCGGTCCTATTTAGTTGTTTCCTGTCAGAGTTAGCTCTGAGTAGAAATGCACTCAGTAGGCTGCTTTCGTAGGTTATTCACATCTGATATTGTTATGTTGAGTCTACAGTGTTTGAGCAGGAAGAGCCTTTGTGATTTTCTAATGCAGCCTCTTCTTATTTCAGGAGTCCCCTTCCCAACACCCCTGTGAAATGGTCATCCAGCCTCTGCAAAAGCACTCTGGTAAGAGAGCCCTGAAGGCATAAGGCAACCCGTGCAATTGATGGGAAGGACTCCCTGTGTTAATTTCAAACCTGCCCATTCAAAGCTTCCGCCTCCTAGATTATGGTTCCACGGAGCCGAACCTCCTCTTAGAAGCCCTTTGGGTTATTAAAGAAAGCTAAGAGGTTGCCTTAACATCTTCTCAGTTTTAGGCTAAACAGCCCTGGTTCTTTCGATTACTCTTCTTTTGAGGTAGACGGTAGCCCCTCACCTCCTTTCTGTTTGCTCATTGATGCAGCCTGAATTGTCAGCAGCCCTCTTTGCAGAAACCCATTTCATCATGCTGTGCCTTACAGGAAACAGAGGGTCATCATCTGCTATAATTATACTTGTTATCATAGATGGTTACAACGCAGCCTTCTCTTCACAAAACAGAAGCTTACCGGGTTTTCTTCATCTTGCCTTAAGGCCCCTTAAAAACCTTTAATCTCTGTCAAATAAGAGGCAGGGAAACACCCTCCAAAACAAAAACAAACAAGCAAATAAACAACAACTTGGGTAGAGAGAGGGTAGACCTTTGAAATGAGATAGACCTATGGGTTTTAAAAATAGATCCCATGCCCCACAGTGTCTGTGACGTGTTGGGCTCAATAAAATACTGTTGACTGACTGATAATTTTCTGGGGGTAGAGAGAGGGGGGCATCACTGGTGTATCTGAGGACAAGGAAATCAACCGTCATTGGAGGACTTAATGGAGAAACAAATAAGAAATATTGGACTAAGCCAGTAGTTTCTTATTCCTCCTGAAACGTGTGCATGCACGCACACACATGCACACACGCTAGTAAAGCCTTTTGTGCTGGCAGTATTTTTACTTTGTCTAAATATAAGAAGCCATGGGCAGCTCTGGGCTCTCTTATCTTTTTCACAGATACCTGCCTCCCCTTGGTCCTGGGATTAAATCCCTTGATCACTATCTTACCCTTTGGCCATCAGTTCCCCATCAACAACCGTAAATGTCACTTTGAAATAACTGTCCCTGCTATTTAGTTGGAGGATGCTGGAAAAAGTAGTACTTTGGTAGGAGTTGATGTTGGGTTATAGGATTCCACATAAAACAGCAGAGGGGCCAGGGGACAAGTCCAGCTCCTTAAGGGTTTTCTAGTTAATCTCTCAAGCTAGACTTGGTGCCAATAGAAAATACACAGCAGTAGCCTTACCTTGGGCCCCTATCCCCCCCACCCCCCACCCCTGCTTCTTCATGATCGTAAATCCATATTCTGTCAGGAAATTAAGAGGTCATGGGTGGTGGTTTTGTAACTTAAAAATCGGGCACTGTGGTGTTGGACATTTTGCCAAAATGTGTGTTGCAGACGGGTGTGAGGATTTCCAAATCTTCTGGATTCTCAGTGGGTTGTCCCGAACCAGGTTCCCCCCTCTTGTATCGGCTCTCAAATCTCTCTCTGACAAGCCTTAGCAAAGCATTGTCTTCTGTTGACACCACCATGGTCCCCATGTGTCCCATAGTCTTTTTATTTTGTCGTTGACAAGCCCATAAGAAGACGGCCAGCAGCCCGGAGAGTCAAGGGTCTCAAGTGCAACCCTGTGGTCTGGGTCCCCTCAGAGTGCTCAGAGCTAATGTCCTCTACCATGCCATCTGCCACACTTGACCCCCTCCTTCGTTCCATGGTCTTCAGTGCCTCTTTCTTTCTTTCTTTCTTTCTTTCTTTCTTTCTTTCTTTCTTTCTTTCTTTCTTCCTTCCTTCCTTCCTTCCTTCCTTCCTTCCTTCCTTCCTTCCTCCCTCCCTCCCTCCCTCTCTTTCTTTCTTTCTTTCAGATTTTATTTGTTTATTTGAGAGAGAGAGAGAGGGACAGAGCAAGCGAGAGCACGAACCAGGGAGGGGGGCATGCAGAGGGAGAGGGAGCAGACCCCCCGCTGAGCAGGGAGCCCGATGCGGGGCTCAATCCCAGGACCCTGGGGTCATGACCTGAGCGGAAGGCAGACGCTTAACGACCGAGCCACCCAGGTGCCCCCTAATATTGCATTTAAAATAGAGCATAAAAGGAAAACAGATCAATCATTCCCACTTGAATAACAAGGCTGGTTTTCGGAATGTCTGGGGGCAAGAGGAAGGGCAAGTGGATTTGATTCTTAAGTAGGAGCTACGCAGCCCTGGGGGAGAATTCTATAAGCCGAATCCACTCCTCCTTGTGGCCAAGCCTGTCTCACTTTTGAGCTTTTCAATGACGCGTTTTGGTTTATTCAGAGGGCACAGGTAAGAAAGAATCAAACTGGCTTCAGGCTAAAGACATTTAAGGGTGTCATCACAGAAAAACTGAGATAAGTAGCTTGAGCTGCTCAAAAGGAGGCATTCAATCACGGCATCATCGCGCCCACCAAGACCTGTGGGATCCTGTCCTCCATTCTGGTGCCCAAATCTTCTTAGAAGCCTTCCATTAGTTACTGGTTCATGGGGGCTGGAAAGGTCTCAGGGAATCATGGTAACAGTGTTCTTCTGGTGACCCCGTCTGGCCCTCTAGGAACCCAGTTACCCAGCGTGATTGAACAAGTGGGCGTCGGGACGGGCGTCCTGACTCATCGCTTTCCAAGCACACGATGCAGGTTCATGCATCTAGAAAACGGTAGCTAGGTAAGCCCTACATTTTCCGACTTTGAAAAATGGAAGCAATGATTATTTAACAACAACAACAACAACAACAAAAGAATCCGATACCACGTTTCCTCTTTCTCCTCTTTAATAAGATGGTTTGGTTAGGAAAGGCATTTCCGACCCGCATCTCAGCGGCCTCCCCCACGTCATGTGTTGGTCGAGGTCTGTAAGGAGGAGCGGTTGTGAGCTGAGTCGTGGGAGAGGGTCTGGAGCGGTGGGGACAGGGGGCAGCAAAGCCATATTTCCTGATAGGCACGTGTGAAAAACTCAGGGGTGCCTGAGTGTGCCGTGCACATAGATGAAATCAACAAGTAGACAAAGAAAATCCAGACCTTTGATGACCCCTGGTGAATAAACTAAGCACTGCATTGAAATGCAGCTAGAGCTGCAGACTTCCCTTGCCAGCGAGCCCCCTGGATCGCTCCTCTCTCTCAAGTGAGGCAAAGGGTCCCCCACCCCGAAGTGCCAGCGTGGTGTACATTACACATGCGTTAGGGACTTGACACATCTGTATCCCTCTCAACAAATCTGGTATCGGTGATCTCTATCGATTGGTTAAGGAATGTGTCCTCGTCCACGTTATATCTGTGCTATGACCCCTTAGACGCGAACGGTCTTATTTAGGGAACGCTGAGGAATTCAGAAAGTGAGGTCTGTAACTTTCTCTCAGATTAAGTATGTATTTAATATAGTTTTGTGGGAGAGTTAGGAAGACTAAATCAACCTTCTTAGGGAACCCAAATTTAAAATCAGGGGTTTGGGGCGCCTGGGTGGCTCAGTTGGTTAAGCAACTGCCTTCGGCTCAGGTCATGATCCCAGGGTCCTGGGATTGAGTCCCGCGTCGGGCTCCCTGCTCGGCAGGGGGTCTGCTTCTCCCTCTGACCCTCCCCCCTCTCATGTGCTCTCTCATTCTCTCTCTCTCAAATAAATAAATAAAATCTTTAAAAAAAAATAAAAAATAAAATCAGGGGTTTGGAGTTAATCACTTCTAACTCCTGAATCGCTGCTAAAATACTCTTCTATGCAGCAAAAAGTGTGTGTTTTTGTGAACAGCTGTGGCCAGCGTGTGGTACAGGGGAGTCAGAAAGCAGGCTGCATTTTGTCAGCTTGCAGGAGAGGAAAGAAATTTGTTACCGTGGGAGAGAAGGGGGATGGGGAGGGTGGGCGTTTTTGGTGTATACCCAGGCATCCCCTTAGAAGAGTGGCGATGCCAAGTGGCTGTTTGTACTTGCCCAGAAGGGGACCCACCTGACAGTTACCATCAGGTAAAATATTAAGCAGTTTATACTGTTAATACAAGTTAGCCTATCGTGTGTGGATCAGATCCATTGGCCTTTAAGTCTTTGTTGCGTGACCCGGAGAAATTGTTCCCATCTCTTAGATTGGTATACCCAGCGTGTTGAATTGTTAAATGTATTTCCTCTTCCGTCCCCCTTTTGAATCACCACAGGCTAGAGAATGCCTTTATTTCTAAAAAAAGCAACAACAACAAAAACCCAAACAAGAACAACTAAATAAACATTTTGAAATGAGAAATATTATATATTCCAAATGTTGCCTTCAAGCCTTGTGGGTCGCCAGACTTCTCTCTTCACTGGGCTTGTAGGGGCTTATGTAGACACGAGCCATCACGTGAGAAAACAGTGGGGCCCTCAGGGCAGGCATCTGAGGTAGTCCTCACCTTCTGGAGGAGGCTGGTGCTGAGGATTTCATCAACTTGCCAGATGTCTAAAATTTCAAAGGGGAAAGACTCTCAGAAGTCACCCAATGTACTTCCTCCACCACCTGCTTCATTTGCAAATGAGCAAATTGATACCGGGAAGTGGGTGACATTTCTGATGTGGAGCTAAGCACAGGGATCGATCTGGTGCCCCCAGCCCATCCTTGCACGCTTTGCGCCACTTTGCCTTCCTCAGGGCACGCTGAACATGCAGAGTCTTTGCAGAGAGGACCACATCCCCCATGGGAGTGGAGGGTAAACGGTCGAATTAAAAGTGAGTGTGGGGGGCGCCTGGGTGGCTCAGTTGGTTAAGCGACTGCCTTCGGCTCCAGGATCCTGGAGTCCCTGGATCGAGTCCCGCATCGGGCTCCCTGCTCTGCAGGGAGTCTGCTTCTCCCTCTGACCCTGCTCTCTCTCATTCTCTCTCTCAAATAAATAAATAAAATCTTTAAAAAAAAAAAAAGTGAGTGTGGGGGAGGGGATATAATGAAACATTGATAGGAACTTGAGAAACAGCCCAATTTGGAGAGACATTTATTTTTATCATTCTTTAAGTATCTTTCTCAGATGAGAGAAAGCATCTTCATCTCAAAATCTATGCTTATTATTTCATTATCTGTTTTGATGA